GTGGTAATACCCACCTGTAATTCCAGTGGCTCAGGAGGCTGAGGTAGGAGAATCACAAAATTTTTTTTTTAATATTTATTTTTTAGTTTTTGATGGACACAACATCTTTGTATGTGGTGCTGAGGATCGAACCCGGGCCGCACGCATGCCAGGCGAGCGCGCTACCACTTGAGCCACATCCCCAGCCCAGAGAATCACAAATTTGAGGCCAGCCTCAGCAACTTAGCAAGGTCCTCAGCAACTTACTGAGAACCTGCTTCAAAATAAAAAATAAAAAGGGCTGGAGGACTAGGGTTGAGGCTCAGTAGTAGAGCACTTGCCTCGCCATGTATAAGGCACTAGGTTCAATTCTCAGTATCACATGTAAATAAATGAATGAATAAAGGTCCATCAACAACTAAAAAATATTTTTAAAAAAGGGGGAGGTGCTGGAGATATGGCTCAGTGGCTAAGCAACCCTATAACCAAAAAAAAAAAAAATCAAGGAGCATTTTATAATATTCTATAATATAACCAGACTATATTGTTGTTAATGTCATTGTCACTAAATAATAAAGTCTGAGGAACTATTTCATATTAAAGGAATAATCTCAAATAAAACAAAATGTACTACACAATCATGGACTGGATCTTTGTGAGGGTAAAAATACTATAAAGGGAGTTATTGGGACAACTGACAATTTTGGAATATGGACTTTAGAGTGCCAATGTTAAATTTCCTGAATTTGGTAACTGTACCATGGTTATTTTAAGAGAATATTCTTGTTCTTGGGAAGTATGCATTAGAGTATTAAGAGACAAAGAGACATAATACATGTAACTGACTCTCAAGTAGTTCAGAAAAACATGAATATAGTACATATATAGAGAGCATAATAAAACAAATGTCAAAATATTAAAAATCAATAAGTCTGAGGGCTGGGGATATGGCTCAGTGGTAGAGCACTTGTCAAGCATATGTGAAGCCCCAGGTTCAGTCCCCAACACAGAAAAAACTAAATAAATCTGGACAAAAAGCACACATATGGGGTGGTCTCTGTAACTACTTTTGCAACTTTAAATAAGTTTGAAATTATTTCAAAATAAAAATATCTTTTAAAGTTACATAAACAGAAGAAGAATAGCCAAATGAGGACCTAGCATGCATAAAAACAGTTCCAAGAATCCAGTTAAATACTGACTTGACTGTAGCTTGTTTGCTTTCATCTACTTTCCTCAAAAAAAATAAAAAGGCTGATACCCAGCTGCCACATCACCCCCCCCATCTCCCCATCCCCCAGCTTTTTAACTTCCCAGCATGGCTTGCTTCCTTGAGAAGGGCACCATCTTCCTTCTGCCTCTGAAGACTTTGACCCCCCTTCCTTGCTTTTGTTTTGTTTGGTTTGGTTGGTTTTTAGCATTGGGAATTGAACCCAGAGGTGCTTTACCACTGAGTTACATCCCCAACCCTTTTTATTTTAAATTTCAAGACAAGGTCTTCCTACATTACTGAGGCTACCCTCTAATTGGGATCCTACTGCCTCATCCTCCCAAATTGCTGGAATTATAGGAGGGCACCACCACTCTTGGCCCAATGTATTTGTTTTCCTGTTTGCTGGAAATTCGATTTCCCCAGAACAAGAGCAAGTGGATAACTAAACCTTCATGTGCCTCATCCTTCCCATAAGCACTAGATACATAGTACATGATTAATAAAACAGATCTAATAACCACATCTATGAATGATATATATCACCTTTGAATGATATACACTTGTCAATAGAAGCAGGTTAGATATATGGTTAAGAACCAAGTGAGATAATCCTAGTTTTTGACTTAAAAGTTGTATGACTGAAGTGCATATCTGTAATCTCAGAGACTCAGGAGGCTGAGGCAGGGGGACTGCAAGTTCTAGGCCAGGCTTGATAACTTATAAAGACCCTCTCTCAAAATATAAATAAAAAAGGGATGGAGGTGTAGCTCAGTGATGGAGCACTCCTGGGTTAAATCTCCAGTACTGGGGGGAAAAAAAAAGAAAAAAAGTAATATGACTGAGAGTAAGTTAACCAGTACCTGAAGTTCACCAACCATTGTCAGCCCTAGTACCCAACTAGAAAGTAACAGATACCATTTCTGGAGGCATCAGTATAAAATCTCTGCTCTGATAGCTTGCATTCTAGTTGAGTGAGACAGAAAATTTTAAAATAAATACTTAGGAAGAGCCGGGAGTAGTGGCACATACCTGTAATCCCAGTAGCTCAAGAGGCTCAGGCAGGAGGATTGCAAGTTCAAAGCCAACCTCAGTAACAGTGAGGCACTAAGCAAATCAGTGAGTCCCTGTCTCTAAATAAAATACAAAACAGGGCTAAGGATGTGGCTCAGAGGTTGAGTGCCCCTGAGTTCAAAACCTGGTACCTCCCATAAAAAAAAAGAAATACTTAAATAGTATGCTAAATGCCTATTCATGCTCTAGAGAAAAATAGGGCACACAGGGGATAGGACCAGCAAGAATAGGAGATGGAAATGTAATTTTATACACTCAAGGAAGGCTTCACTAGAGAGGTAACATCCAAAAAAAATTTAAGGTCATAATGTAGATGAAGCAAAAGGGACAATATGTTCAAAGGCACCAGAGCAGAGATGTGCCTCAGGTAAAGAATGACTAAGATGGAATCAGCCCTTCTTATTTATTTATCTATTTTTGGTACCAGGAATTGAACTCACAGGCACTTAACCACTGAGCCACATATCCAGCCCCTTTTTTGGGGGGGTGGGATGACGGGGGATTAAACTCAGGGATCCTCAACCACAGAGCCACATCCCTAGCCCTATTTTGTACCTTATTTAGAGGCAGGGTCTCACTGAGTTGCTTAGCAACTCGCTGTTGCTGAGGCTGGCTTTGAACTCGCGATCCTCCTGTCTCAGCCTCCTGAGCCGCTGGGATTACAGGCGTACACCACTGTGCTTGGCTGGAATCAGCCCTTCAATGGCACTCAAAGGGAATGGGAGAGAGGGAGAGAAATACTTTGAGGTTGGATTTTGGGAAGAGGAAAGAAGCACTAGTGTCATAAAGTTGAAGAAAAATAGGTGATTACCTTTTTTATGTCCTGTACTTCTAAACTTCTCTTAAAAATATTTCTCAAATGGAGATAATTCAAAAAGAATTCAAAAATGTTTTTGTTTTTGCTTTATGGCTTTGCCTTGAATTAAAAATTAGGATCCCTCTCCCCCCATTTTTTACTATATTTTGAGACATTTTTGAGATATGCAGAATCCTTTTAGATTAGGGTTTGACAATAATTTTTTTTAAAGATTAGGATTTGAAATTCACATTAATATTCTCAAAACAATTTTATTATTTGGAAGTAAAATACCATTTATATAAAAATTATAAGTTTATAGGGGAATTACTAGTAATTTACTAATAGACTTTTTTTTTCCCCCACATGGTCAAGAGAATCAGGTCTGATTTGCTTGTCCTTTTGCTATGGTTTGTACAGTCTGTACCTGCCTCTTCAAGTAATTCTGGATGACTTCTACATGACCACATTATTGTTTTCATAAATGATATTTTTAGGGATTGGAAATAACAAAAAGTTCTGGTAGTCTTGCCATGTGTCCTTTTTTTTTAACATTTATTTTTTAGTTTTAGGTGGACACAACATTTTACATTTATTGGTGCTGAGGATCAAACCCAGTACCTCGTGCATGCTAGACAAGCATCCTACCACTGAGCCTCCACCCCAGCTCCAACCACTTGTCCTTAATAATTTGTGTAGCTCAATTATTTCCCAAAAAATAACTGAGAAGCAACACCAGCCAGGATTTTAAGTGTTAAATAGGGAGGGGGATATTTTCTTCTGTTTCTTTGCAGTGCTGAGGATGGAACCTGGGTAGCAGGCAGATTAGGCAAGTATTTTACACCCCTGGACCTTAAGTGGATGTTTCTATGCCAAATAGTGGCAATCCCAGAGGACAGAACAGTGGTTTGGTTACTGGTTGGTTGTTGCTGTTATTTTTGTTTCTTGTTTTGTTTTTTACAGTACTAGGGATTGAACCCAGGGCCATTTCACCACTGAGCTACATCCCTAGCCCTTTGTATTCATTTTGAGACAGGGTCTTGCTAAGTTGCTGAGGATCTTGCTAAACTGCCAGGACCAGTCTGGAACTTCTGATCCTTCTACCTCAGCTTTCCCAGCATCTGGGATTATAGGTGTGAGCTACCACATCCAGCTTGTTATCCTTTTTTTTTTTTTTGGTGCTTGGGGAATAAACCCAGTACCTCATGCATGCCAGGCAAGCACTTTACCACTGAGCCACATCTCCAGCCCCAGGTGTTATTCTTTTAAATTTCCTTTACATTGTTTATAAGGCTATTTCAAGGGTGGGAAGTAGACAAGGCTCTGGTCTCAAGACACAATCAGTGCCCATTTTGTCTTTAATGTCACCAAAGAACAATTAGACTTTTCCCCTAAAGATTTTGGGGGAGTGGGGTATGGTGGTGCACCTATAATCCCAGCGCCTCGGAAAGCTGAGACATGAGGATTACAAGTTCAAGGACAGCCTTAGCTATTTAGTGAGACCTTAAGCAAATCAGTGAGATCCTGTCTCAAAATAAAAAACAAAAGGACTGGGGAAATAGCTCAGTAGTAAAGTGCCCCTGGATTAATTCTCCAGTACCAAAAAATGAAAATAAAGAGAAATAAAAAAATAAATAAAAAGAGCTAGGGATGTGGCTTAGTGATTAAACATGCCTGGGTTCAACCCCCAGTGCCAAAAAAAAAAATTGGGGGGGGGGGGGAATAAGTGTTCCTTTATTAGTCTTTCTTATGTTTTGATTTTTTTTAAGTTGGAGATGAACACACACCTTTATTTTATTTATTTATTTTTATGTGGTGCTAAGGATTGAACCCAGTGCCCACATATGCAAGGCAAGCGCTCTACCACTGAGCCACAACCCCAGACCCCTGCCTTTTGTTTAAAGTTCTCCATTATTTGGTTAGAATAAACTTCAAAACATATCAGTAGTATACTTGAAATTTTAATTTTATTATGTTCCTATTACATAATGCATATTCATTACATAGTAAAAGGAGAAGGCACAAAAGTATAAAGGGGTCAATTTTAAAATTGCCTATTATCTCATCTCAGGGAAAACAAACTCTGGCATAGTTCATTCATCAGCCTTTTCCTATGTATTTCTGAACATTGCTCATTACTATATAGTCCTATATCCAGCTTTTTCAACATAACATTATATTATTTTTCTCAATTAATAAAAATTCTTTGTAAATATAATTTTAATGAAAGAATAACCTTGCATCCTATGGATATAGTTATTTAAACATTCTCCTAATAGCTTAAGCCTACTTTGTTTCCTAGAGAGGCTATTTTGAAAACGCAGGAGGCAATGCAGAGAGACTCAGTGGGGTGAGGGGTGGCACTGAGGCTTCTAGAGGAAGAAGGCTCATAGGTCCTGGCCTAGCCGCTCCAGCTCGTTGAGGAGGAAGTCTATATCAGCACAGGTCAGAGTGGGGTTAGCTACCACCATTCGAAAGAAGTTGCCATGTGTCCCATGGGGCTGGTAGCCGATCATCATGGAGCCTTCCTTTACCATGCGCTCCTTGAGCACAGGGGCTACCTATGGGAGCAATAAAGAGTCCAGCTGTAGCATGGGGTCAGGTGAGAAGATGGGCCAGCTACCTGGACTACCCGGCTCTCAGAGCTGTTTTTCCCTCCCACCCAGCCATCTTCTGGAAATACCTTCACTGCTTAGACCCTCACCTTGGCCCCACTTTACTTTTTCCACCTCATCCAACTTGGTTGGCCTTCTCTACCTTCTGCTTTATTCCTCATTTCTCCTACCTACAAGATAGTTGTAGGACAGGTCTCATGCTAAATCCTGACTTTCCTGATTTTCAACCCTGCTTCAGTCTACCTTCAAACTTAGTCATCCTGAATGTCTTCTTCCCCGCTTTCCTGGTTCCTGTCTTTTTTATTTCCCAGGGATTACCCAAGGGTACTTTACCACTGAGCTACATCCTAGTCCTTTTGTACTTTTTATTTTTTAATTTGAGACAGAGTCTTGATAAGTTGCTGAGGCTGGCCTCAAACTTGTGATCCTCCTGCTTCAGCCTCCAGAGACACCAATTATAAGTGTGTGCCACCACTCCTGGATCCTGTAATATCTGATCTGTGCCATGTGATCTAGCGTGTAATTTACAAAACCACCTTGAAATATTGGCTTCAAACAGTAATTCTTGCTTTCCACAATAACAACTTCATGAGGGCAAGAAGATTCTTGTCCTTTCAGATTATCTGTAGCACCTAGTACTAACCCATTCTTAGGGACCAGACAGAACATACTTCCTTGCCTCTAGAAGGCATATCAAATTGGCCTTTCTGTGTTTCTCTGTCCCCGGCATCATTGAAAAGACTCTTCCTGTTATTTCTACCTTATATATCTCTGACCTGGGCCTGAGTTCCCAGCACAGACCCTAGCACAGGGGTCTGTGTGCTGCACACTAACTTTTTTGGGTTCTCCTGTGATGCTCCTTTCTGTCATCTTATTTCCCCCAAACATATCTTATTCCTATCCCCTTCTCCCCCAGCCCCCCACAAAAAGGACAAGCTTGTGTTGTCTTCCAGTTACCTAGCCCCTCATGAGCAAGAGACCAATAGGGGGACCGCCCATATCAGGAATGGCCAGCAGGGGGCAGAAGTGCACCAGCTGCATCAGTTCCCTTAGCAGGGCTACCCAGAGCCAGACAAAGCCTACCTGAGACAGCCTTTGGCTGTATTGTGGACTGGCCTGCTTCCCCCGCAAGCTGGGAGGCACGAACCAGAAGCACACGTTGACAAACTCAGGCTGAGGGAAATAAGGAAGGGGAAGGTATGAGCTGAGAAAGGAGGACCATTTTCCCTTTCACCGCCACTCTTTCTCCATGTGAGCTTGCTGTGTGGAATACGCTGGGATAGATGGATGCAAAAGAACATGGGATCATACCTCCATGACCAACTCAAACCCTTCCCTCTTCTTTATTTCCTCCACCAGGTACCTGGGAACAGAGGGTGACAAATTGCAGGTGGAGAGGGGAAGACAACCATATAAACTGAAGAGAACCACAGAGATAGGTGGAGGAAAGTAATCCTGAGGTCAGAAATGGAGGAAGGGTAGACCCTGGGAGGGGATCTGGGACCCCCCTTGCCTACCGGGCAAGAGCAAAGGCCTGGTCGATACGCTGCTCCAGCCCTTGCCCACCCTGTGCTTTCCACATGAGCCACAGCTTCAGACAGTCTACACGGCGGCCACACTGCACCACCTTGTCACCCGTATCCAGAGCCACATCGTAGAACTTGTCCTGCTGGAAGAGGTAGCTGGCCTGGAATCCATGGCAGCGCTTGAGCAGGTTCTATGTGGGGAAGAGGTTGTCAGACCCCCGTGGCTCCACCCAGGCTCTCCCCTAGTGCAACACTAAGGGTCTTTAGCTCAGTCTACCCATGCCTGCGCTGGAACCAGGCAGCACCATGGAACAACTGCCAGCTAACTGGACCCGTTTCTCTGGGCTTTCTCCAGTATGCAGAGCTCTTCCCAAACTTTCCCAGGATCCCTCGGACTGCAACTTTAAGCTGGCTATCTTCTCCTTTGCATGAGGGCTCCCAATGTAGGGGTAGGGTGGTGGCAGGTGAGATGGTAAAGGGGACAAAGTAAGGCCTGGTCCCCCTCTAAAGTGGGATAGAGAAGAAGACAGGACTCCAAAAAGGACATAGGCCAGGGCCAGGCCAAGGACTGGGAAAGACCCACCGAGGTATCCTGGAGAAGAAGAGCAGAGCACTGCAGTCCTGCAGCGAGGAGCTTGTGGGGGTTCCAGGCCACGGAGTCAGCCCTGGGTGAAGCAGAGCAAAGCCAGGTCAGTGGCTCCTCCTCAAGTTGCCTAGCCAGAGCCGTTCTCTTCCAGACCACCAGTAGAGGGGTCTCATCCCCACCCCAGCAGTCAGGAAGAATTCCCATGTCTGACTTTCCAGCCCAGATCAACCATTCCCATCTCCATCTGTATCCCAGTACCCTCCTTCCCCTACCCCACCCTAAGTTCCCACTCCATGACTATTCTGAGGATCAAGGATTGGAAGGCTGGGGTTCGGGCAGAAGGGAGCCATATGCACCTCTGGATCCCATCCAGGAGATGCCTGTGTGTCTGTGACAGCAGGACGCTCCCACCCCAGGCAGCCTGTGGAGCAGGAGGAACAATGTGGGTCTTGGCCTCAGCTCAGCTCACCCCACCCCACCCACAAGATCCAAGTCTCACTCACATCCACGTGTAACCACAGTCCGTGACGCTGGCACACATCGGCAATTGCATCCAGGGGGTCAAAGGCTCCCAACACAGTGGTGCCAGATGTGGCACTGACCAGGAACGGCACAGCACCCTGTGAAAAGAGGATTTAGAGGATTTAGCCTGGTGCTGGGACCCAGTGCTAAGTTCTTCCCATACCCCACCTTGTCCATTTCAACTTTACAACACTGCATTACTGTCCTCTTTAATTTGTAGGCAGGAATGTCTTTCTCACGTCATCCCCCAAAATTAACACATAACAGATCAAAGTCCTAAATGTAATAACTAAAACAACAAAACTCTTAGAAGAAAATATAGGAGCAACATTTGTGTGTATGAGTTAGGTTAGCTATGATTCCAAAAGCACAAGCAACCAAAGAAAAAAATAGATCAACTGAACTTCATCAAAATGTATAACTTCTGAGTCAAGTACAGTGGTGTACACCTGTAATCACAGCTACTCAGGAACTTAAGGCAGGAGGATCTCAAGTTTGAGGTCATCTTGGGCAATTTAGGGAGACCTGTCTCAAAATAAAAAGTAAAAAGACTTGAGGGGCTGGGGTTGTGGCTCTGTGGTAGAGCACTTGCCTAGCATATGCAAGAACCTTGTAAAATATTGGTGGGAATGTGAAATGGTACAGCTGCTGTAGAAAGAAGCAGGGCAGTTTCACTTCGGGGTATGTGCTCCTACCAAATTTAAAGTAAAGCGTTACGGTGTGGATACACTATGGTTTGAACACCACCCCCCACCCTCCGCCTAAGGATTCATGTGTTGACAAATAATGCCCATTGTAAGATATTAAAAGGGTAGAAGTTGAACCTATGGTGTTCAGAGGTGGGGGTCTCTAGAGGTGATTAGGATTTTATAAGGTTATCAGGGTACAGCCCCATGATTGAATCCCGATGGTTTTATAAGAGGGAGACTGGAAGAAACAAAAACATGCTCCTGGCTCTCATCATGTGATGCCCTATACTGCCTTGGTGTTTTGCCAGCAAAAAAAAAAATCATCACCCAATTTGAGCCTTGAACTTTAGACTAGAATTGAGAGCCAAAATAAACCTCTTTATAAAGTTACTCAGTTTCAGGTATTTCATTATAGTAAAGAAAAATGGACTAACACACAGGGTCTTTTTGTGGGGGGCAAGGATTGAACCTAGAGGTGCTTAACCACAGATTCACATCCCTAGCCTGGTTTTTATTTTTTATTTAGAGACAGGGCCTTGCTAATTTGCCGAGGCTGGCTTTAAACTTACGATCCTCCTGTCTCAGCCTCTCAAACTGCTGGAATTAGAGGCATGCACCACCATGCCCACCTGCACAGGGTCTTAAAGAGATATTTTGTACATCTGTATTCATTTCAGCATTATTCATAACTGCTAAATCATAGGTGCAACCCAAGTTTTCACTGATGGATAAATGGATAAGCAAAATGTGGTAAATATATATAATAGGGATTAAATTTCAGCACATCAGGGAACACATTCAAACCATATCCAAAACATAATACCTTGGTTTCTTCTCAGTAAATGTAATAATGCCCCCTGGGTTACTGTCACAGAACAAAGCAAAATAAAACAGCACCACACACTTTCAAATACTCCCTCGATGGCAGGGAGAGTAGAGGTGGAGGCAGCACCAGCCCCAAGCAAGTACTCTTGGATAGGGAAGGCTACAGGTAGTGGGTGGAAACACTCCAGGCAAACAGAGGAAGCTGTCTTGGAAGACACATCCCATGGCTTCTGCACAAGCATAGAGTGTTCTTGTCCATCCACAATATCCACCATATAGTTAATTCTTCTTCCTCCCAGTATCAGCTCAATCATACTCTTTTTTTGGTACCAGGAATTGAACCCAGAGGTACTTAACCACTGAGCCATATTCTCAGCCCCTTTGTTTATTTATTTTAATTTTGAGACAGGGTGTCACTAAGTTGCTTAAGGGCCTTGCTAAGTTGCTGAGGCTGGCTTTGAACTTGCAATCCTCCTGCCTCAGCCTTCCGAGTCACTGGGATCACAAGCGGGTGCCAGCTCAATCATCACTTCTGAAGAATGCCTTTCCTGACTCCCTCACCACCTGATTCTGTCAACTCTCCTGTATTATAGCTTCAAAGAGCACTATGCACTTCACATTAACAGCACATGTGCAGCTGTTACATACATATGAATGTCATACTTACCTATTGGAATAAATGCTCTATGAAAATTAAATGGGCAAAAGATCTAAAGAGACACTACTCTATAAAAATGTGCAAATGCCCAATAAAACATGACAAGATTCTCAACATTATTAATCACCAAGGAAATGCAAATCAAAACTACAGTAAGATACTTCACACCAAGTAACTATAATCAAAAAGAAATAATACCAAATGCTGGTGAGTATATGGAGGAACTGGAACTTTCATACTACTGCTGGAATTGCAAACTGGTATAGTTACTTTGGAAAACAGTTTAGCGGGGCTGGGGATGTGGCTCAAGTGGTAGCGCGCTCGCCTAGCATGCATGAGGCACTGGGTTCGATTCTCAGCACCACATAAAAATGAAATAAAGATATTGTGTCCACCTAAAACTAAAAAATAAATATAAAAAATCAGTTTAACAATTCCTCAAAGGTTAAATATAGTTACCATATGACGCAGCAATTCCATTCCTAGGTATATAACTAAGAGAAATGAAAAACATGTTCACATAAAAGTCTATATGTAAATGTTCATGGCAGTGTTATTCATAATAGGCCAAAAAATGAAAATAAGTCAACCATTCATCAACTGACGAATGAATACATAAAATGTAATATATCCATACAATGGAATGTTATTTGGTCACAAAAAGAAATGAAATAATTGGTATTGTGACAACAGGATAAATACATACTGTTCTGAATAACAAAAATAGCCCTACAGTGTTCACTGTATACTAAGCTTGCAATATATATTTTATATATATAGTGGAGGTATTTTCATGTTAGTTTATATGCTTTTCCTACTTTATTCTCTTATTTTTATTGATTGATGATTAATGGATTGATTGCAGTACTGTGCATCAAGCCCAAGGGTGTTCCTATCACTGAGCTACATCCCTGTCATTTTTAATTTCTTATTTTGAGACAGTGTCTCACTGAGCTGCCCAGGCTGAACTCAAAACTTGCAATCATCTTGCCATAGCCTCCTGAGTAGCTGAGATTACAGGTGTGCGCCACTGCACCTGGCCTATTTTCTTTTCTTTTTTTCGTGGTACCAGAGATTGAACCCAGGGGAACTTAACCACTGAGCCACATCCCCAGCCCTTTTTCTTTTCCCTTTTTAATTTTTCTTTTCTTGTCTTCTTTTTCCTTTTTCTTTCTTTTTTTTTTTTTTTTTTTTTTTTTTTGAGGCAAGGTCTTGCTAAATTGCTAAGGGCCTTGCTAAGTTGCTAAGGCTGGCTTTGAACTTGCAATTCTCCTGTCTCAGTCTCCTAAACTGCAGGGATTATAGGTGTGTGCCACCATACCCACCAAACCCAATTTATTTTTATTTTTTGCAATGCTAGTAATCATACCCAAGGTCTCATGCATACTAGGCAAGTAAGCTACACCTCAGCCCAATCCTACCTTATTCTTTAAAATGGCTACATTGACATACTAATTCATTTAACCCTTACAACTACCCTCTGTGGTAAGTTCTGCAGTATTTCCATTTTACAAAATAAGAAATAGATAATACAATAATTTATCTACTGATGTATACTTCGTTCCAGGAAACATTCTCATGCACAGAATTCTATACACTTGTGATGATGGTTGACAGCACAAATTCTAAGCATTGGAACTCTGAATCAGCAGATACATTTAAAAATCATATAGCTCATACCCAAATGCTGTCCCCAGTGTACAGCTACACTGTCCCTGGTGGCTTCAGCAGTCCACCCTAAGTGGACACCCTGACCTGTACCCACGAGCATAGCTAGCACATCCTCCTCAGCTTCTCCCAGCCCTGACCCCCAGCACACAGAAACCTTCCACACTATGCTCCAGGCTGCTAACACCTGCCTGCAGTGCTGCCTCAGCCATCCAGTCCCATCTCTGAGAATCCCACCCTGCCTTCATGTCTCGGCAGAGTCCCCAACAGCAACATGGTGTTCTTGCCCATCAGCCTTCAGCCCACTACAAAAAGGGCATGGAGATGAGGAGAGGCATGAAGGGTGATGAACAGGGGGAGCCCAAATAACTGTCCAGAGATGGGACAGAGTGGTCCCATTCCACTCACCTCAGCTTCAGCCAGACTGATCTGCCTCTCCAAATCCTCAGGGATCATTTTCCCTCTGAAAAAGAAAAATGAGTGAGTGGAGAAGTTATAGGTCCTCTAGGCTAGGAGGCATTACTCTGTTGAAGAATGATAAGGTAAGGTTGGCAATGCAGAAGCCATAATACTCTACAAGTCTGAGGGCACAGGGCAGGAAACTTTGGCAGGCACTGGGAAGCAGGAGCAGCAATTCTACAGGAAGAGTGAGGGGAGAGAAATCCACCAGGGATACAGGCCTGAGGCCAGAGTTTTCTGGCAGCAGGGAGGTACACTATGCCAAGCTGGGTCAGGGCCATGTCGGCAGGACCTTCACCTCTCATCAGCCTTGACCACTCGGACACTGTCAGTGCCAAGTCCCAGAAAAGCAGCTCCCTTGTTGATGGAGTAATGACACTGTTGAAGAATGTAGATGGCAGGTTAGCATGACCTGGGCTAGGGACCAGAAGGCAGGGTGGATGGGGAGAAGAGAGTCTGGAAAATGTCAAGTATGAGCTGCAATAGATAGGACCCCAGAGGCCAGAGCTTTCCAAATTTTTATATATACGAATTGCCTGGGTGTCTGGTTGAAACACAGATTCAGATTAAATAGATCTGGGTAGGCCTGAGCTTCGGCTTCTCTAATAAGCTCCCAGGTGATGTCAATGCTGCTGGCCCATGACCATACTCTGAGTAAAAGTGTGAACCGTGTCCATTGCACTTGTTGCTCCTGTCCTACTCTCCTACCAAAAGAAAAAATGAACATGGCCCCCTTGATTGGAAAGAAGCACATCCTCTTAGGGACAGGGTAGGGCAGGAAAAGAACCTGAAGGGGCTCTGATTGAGGTGGCTAGAGATTAGAATCAGAAGCCCAGGGCTGGGTCTATGCTCTTCCCCACCTCCTTTGATGTGAAGAGGGCCAATGGTGGCAGTGCCCGGAGGCCCCTCTGCTTGCAGTCTGGGTAGCGCTGATAGCGGGCCAGGTTTATGGCATACATGTTGGAGATGGAACCACCTGTCATAAGGAGGGAGTGATGGCAAGAGGGAAGGATGGTGAGTCAGAATGGAGCTTGCTTCCCCAGAACTTTCCACCCAGAATAACTGACCAAAGCAACACTTGTGACTGGCTCTCAGGCCACAAATTCCCAGGGATCTACAAATGGCACGAGAACCCAGAACAGACCCGGACTCAGCAGATTCTCCTGATCACCCCCTCCACACCCAAGACTGCCCCTGGAGAGAGTCCCTCACCCCCTGCCCCAGAGCAGGCATCCCAGGGACTGTTGGCAAACACCAGGGTAAAGGGGACTGGGCAGCCTCCTTGCTGGTCTGGCCCTGGCCCAGCTGGAAACGAAACAAAGAGGAATCACCCCTCCCAGACAGCAGATTAGAGCAAGAGAATGGTGTGGGAGGAGGAACCCTACAGTTCCCCTCCTCCTCACATACCAGGGCAGAAGACCCCATCCCCAGAGCTCCAGCCCACCAGGGCCCGGAGTTTCTTCAGCACCTCCTCTTCCATGAGTACAAACACAGGGGCGATCTCATATGTGTACCTGCCAGAAGAGCAATGATGAGAAAGGGGAAGAAACAGGAGGGACTGCCAGTTCAGGCTCTTAAATTACTAGAGTCAGAGAGAGAAGGTGGTGAGATAACCAAGGAAGGGTCCCCAGGGAGAAAGAGTTGGTGACTAAGAACCAGCAAAGCACCGATGAGAAAAAACTAGAGTCAGGACACATGAGAAAGCTTGGGGAATTGGAGCCGAAAGGACAGAAGGAAAAAACTCTGCCAACAGGCATTCCCAGAAAATGGTATAGAGGGGCAAAACCCATTCTTCTCCCCTATCTCTAAGGCACCTCCCCAGCAAATCTGAGTCCTCTGTGGGCTGGAGGGAGGGGTGTGGGATGGCTCACGGGCTGGTGTTGAGGCTCTCAGTGATAATGCGCCCAGCCAGAGAATGGGGATCCAACCCTGAGAAGAGCTGGTTGAAGAACCGGGGGTGACCTGGAGAGAGGGGAGCAGGGGAGGGGACTCAGCGTGCAGCTGGGTACAAATGCTGGAGACTCCTCCCTTCAGAACCCAGGCCCACCAGTCTTGACACTGTAGCGAATCACAGCCCGGCAACGCTCCAGGATCTGTTCCTGTGACTCGCCCTGGCTCTGCAGCTCCAGATCCAGCAGCTGCTTAAGCTCCTCAGGCTCCTTCCACTCACAGACCTGGGAGGAGAAACCAGGGATGCAGGGACCTCAGCCCCTGAGGACTCGCTGCTCCAGAAGACATAGGACATTACCAACCTGCCCTTAAAACAATTCAAGAATAGTTTCAAAATGATACATGAACAAGGGTAAATAAACCTAAGACCCACTATGCAAATTTCTTTTCTTATTTTTTGGTATGGAGGATTGAATCCAGGGGCCCTTACCACACAGCTATCTCCCCAGCTCTTGTAATGTTATACTTTGAGACTGGGTCTCGATAAGTTGCTCAGGGCCTTGCTAAGCTGCTGACCAACCTCCACTAACCCACCTTCTCAGAAGCACTGGTCCCTTTCCGAATGGCCTCATCCACAACAATCCCAAATACGTCCTGGAGCAAGGTTTCCACAGCCACAGGGTCCCCACCAGGGGAAGGGAGCAGTTTTGAATCAGCCATCAGGTAAGTTCTGTGAGCAGAGTAGGAGTCATTCTCCATTCAGCCTGTGCTACACCCCACCCAGACCTAACCAGCAAGACCCTCCAAGCACTGGTGCCCAGTCCCAGCCTCCAGTGTACAAAGTAAGTGTCAGCATCCAGGGAGAAAGTCAGGGGACACAGGAGGGAGAGAAAAAAGGCAATTAATGCTGAGTGAGTGGAATCAGTGGCCACTGTCCACCAAAAGCAAAGAGGAAAAGCTTACCTTCTGCTCAAGTCTCTGTTCAGGTGAGCTGGCCACAAGGTACACAATTAGCTTTTCAGAATAGTAGGACCAAGACAACAGAGGGAGTGGGATGAAACCAGCAGTCACATGGCCATGGCACAACTCTCATGACCCTTGCCCGAAAGAGAACTTTCACAGATTTGGGACAGGGACAGCAGGTTAAGTTCCCTGAATAATCATTAGCTGACAGAGGTGGAGGGGGCCGGTGGGGAGAAGGGCAAAAACAGGTGGCACATTAACCTAGGGACTGAGGGGCACAGAGCCTGAATGTATTGAAGGGGGGATTCCCACCAGGAATTCAAGAGGACAGACCGGTGGTGTGGGGGACGTCTGAAGTGGGAAGAGAGCAGTGGGCAGGGTAGGGGGCAGAGTAGAAGTGAGGGGGCCTCAGCCATGGAGGCAAAATGGTTTAGGCAAGCCTCAGAGGACAATCTCTTTTGCACCCTAATGCCGTCTTCTCTGAACTGTTCTGATTTCTGAAGCCCTCTCCTACAGCAGGAAGGAAAGGAGGTTCCACTGAGGGAGAATTCCATTACTTGAGTATAATCCTCAGTTTCTGACCCTGCAGGAGCACACAGACACACACGCAACAGTTACAGCTCAGGGTGCAGCTGGGTCCTAACCCTAAGTGTCCTCAGAATCAGGAAAGGAAACCCAGGAGGCTGAAGACTGGGAAAGACTCATAGCAGATGGGAGCTACATCTTGAGAGTGGGCAGGAGAAATGGGATGGGCAAAAGGGAGGAGAAAGAGTTGGGCTTGGTGGCAGGTACATACAGTCCCAGCTACTCAAAGACGCTGAAGCCGGAGGATCACTCGAGCCAGGAGTTTGAGGCTAGCCTGGGCAACAAGGCAAGATCCTGTCTGGAAAAAACAAAGAGAGAGATGGGGGAGAGGGAGAAAGGGAGGGAGAGAGGAGCACCGGGGCAGGGAGAGGAATGCCAGGAGCTTGCGTGGGCAGTGAGCAGGGCCAGGGTCAGTGAAGGCACTGCTGGCTGGAATATGGGAGCAAAGGCAGAGCAGGCAGAGTAGGCAGAGTTGGGTGAGATCATGGCAAGTCTTTCCTGCCAGCCAGGCCAGAAAATGTAAGCTTCGTCCTATAGAAAATGAGATGTGAAAGATTCTTTGGCAAGGGATGTGAAAAAATTGATACTCTCAGAAGACTAATAGACCAATTTATAACAGCACGATGCAGAAGAATTGACAGGGTGTTGCAGTAAGCCAAGCAAGAGGTGATCCACACTTGAATAAGGGTGGGATGAGTAAGAAAGGGAAGAGAGAAGAAATTGCAGCCTCAGTCATTCCCTGGAGTACAGTTAATTCAACACTCAGAGAATGTACATTGGAAAAGTCAAAGATGAACCTGGATGTTCATGCCTGCATGACAGAGAAAATGGCACGCTTAAAACAAATATGGATGCAGAAAGAAGAAACTGGATGAAAATTAAAACAGTGATTTCTTAGAAGTACTCAGCCAAGTGGAGACTTCCTGGGACTACAGATATGCATAGGTAGGTGGTCAGATCTAGAATTCCGATGAGATGCAAGAACTAAAGGCGATTTAGGAGTTGGGATAGATGAAGCCTTGTGAAAAGCTCCATTCCCCAAGGAAGAGATGTTCAGAGAGAGATGGCTAGGGAGAGAGGAACAAACACCAAGGCCTGGAGGAAATTTCCAGATGAAAGGACATGAACAAGAAGAGAATCTAGGGCTGGGGATATGGCTCAAGCGGTAGTGCGCTCGCCTGGCATGCGTGAGCCCCGGGTTCGATCCTCAGCACCACATACAAAGATGTTGTGTCCGCCAAAAACTAAAAAATAAATGTTAAAAAGTTCCCTCTCTCTCTCTCTCTCTCTCTTTAAAAAAAAAAAAAAAAAAAAAAAGAGAATCTAGAATCGGGCCTACTTCCTTAATGTGGGCTGCTCTGATGTACTTGACTGTCAATAGCCACGGAAATTCACACTAGTTAACGGAGGGTCAAGGGAGCAGGTGGTCCAACTCTTACACATTTCCTAAGTAGACTGGGTTTGGAGAAAACCAGAGAGCCACAGGCCTGGAGAATGGAGGACACGGTCCTTCGCCAGCTCTCCTGTCAGCTCCTGACAGTGGCAGCATGGAGTATGGAGGTTGAAAGGCTAATAAAAATAAGCCCCGAGGCGAGGGGTAGAGCTCGGTGGAAGAGAGCTTGCCTAACATATGCAAGGCCCTGGGTTCAATCCCTAGTATCTCAAATATAAACAAAAAATAGGCCCCATTTTAATACTTAACCAGATACCATGTACTTACAATGCATTGTGTGCTAACCTCCATGACCATTCAGGGTAAACTTACTACTCACATTTAAAGGAGGAAACAATTTCAGAGATACTGTGTAACTTGTCCAGGACACAGAGCCAGTGTAGGGTTAAGCCAGGTTAAGCCCCTAACTGCCCTGCTCTCCGGCAAGTTTTAGGCTGTGCCCTCCCCTGGCCTCCCAAAAGAGCTGGTGTTTTTTCATTCCTGAGCCTTTCTGGGCTTCTGCCCCAAGAACCAGCTTGTTTCCCGTTGGGCCCCTACAGACATACTGGCTTTGACTTTCTGACATTGGCTACACTTCTCCTCTGCCTTCTAGCTTCTATAAAAAGGCAATTAATGCTGAGTGATAGCTGTACTGACTGGTGGCATTGCTGACAGGTGATTGGGTGAGGACTAAAATGAGCCAATAGGTTTTTCTGGAAATACAACAAGAAAATGGGGGCTGGGATTGTGGCTCAACAGTAGAGCGCTCGCCTCACATGGGTGGGACCCGGGTTCAATCCTCAGCGCCACATAAAAATAAAGGCATTGTGTTGTGTCCATCTACACCTAAAAAATAAATATTAAAAAAAAAAAGAAAAGAAAATGGACAGGAGGCAATTGATAACTCTTGCCTCCTGACCATTTTCTTGTTATATTTCCAGATTTAAAATTCTACTGATGTAATTTTAGTGGAGTTCCAGGAAGGAACCTAGTTTACACCTAGTTTAATGAAAAATCTAATTCCTATCTCATTCTATGTGACCCAGTCTCACTCCCACTCACACAGGAAATCACTAGAATTTTTAAGGCAAATACTAACAAATGTAAAATATATTCTTATTTTCTCTCTCTTCATACAAAAGTTAGTACATAATCATTCTTCTGTACCTTGCTTTTTTCAGTTAATAAAATATAGGTGCTCTTATCATATCAGTACATTTAGAACTTTCTCATTTTTTAATATTATGATTTTATTAAGATATAACTTACCTACCACAAAAAATAATTCTTTAAAGTACACAATTCAGGGGCTGGGGTTGTGGCTCAGCGGTAGAGCCCTCGCCTGGCATGTGTGAGGCCCTGGGTTCGATCCTCAGCACCACATAAAAATGAAATAAAGATGTTGTGTCCACAAATATTAAAAAAAAAAAAATAAAGTACACAATTCAGTGGTTTTCATATATTCACAAACTTGTGCAACCATCAACACTAACTCCAGGACATTTTCCTCATCTCAATAAGAAAAACTCAATAATAGTCACTCCCTGTTCCTCCCACCCCAATCTCTGGCAACTACTTATCTATTTTTCATCTCTACAGCTTTGCTAGTCTGGACATTTCACATAAAAGAAATCATACACTATGTGGGTTTTTTTGTTTTGTTTTGTTGTTTTTGATACCATGGATTGAACTCAGGAGTACCTAACCACTGAACCACTTCTGTGCACCCCCCCGCCCCGCCCTTTTTTATACTTTATTTAGAAACAGGGTCTCACTGAGTTGCTTAGGGCCTGGCTAAATTGCTGAGGCTGGCTTTGAAGTCAAGATCCTCCTGCATCAGCCTCCCGAGCTGCTGGGATTACAGGCTTTCACTACTGTGTCTGGCATTATGTGGTCCTTTTGCAAGGAGCTTTACTTAGCATAATGTAGTCAAGGTTCATCCACATCATAGTGTGTATCAGTACTTCATTGTTTTTTTATGACTGAATCATATCCATCTTTTTTCTTTTTTTTCTTTCTTTCTTTTTTTGGGGGGTACTGGGATTGAACCCAGGAGCACTTAACCACTGACTCACACCCCCAGTCCTTTGTTTTGAGACAAGGCCTTGCTAAATTGCTTAGGGCCTCACTAAGTTGCTGAGGCTGGCTTTGAAGTCATGATCCTCCTGCCTCAGACTCCTGAGCTGCTAGGATTATAGGTGTATGCCCCCATGCCCTGCTACAACATTTTATTTATCCTTTTACCAGTTCTTGCATATTTCAATTGTTTCCACCTTTGGGCTATTATAAATAATGCTGCTGGGAATATTTGTTTACAAGTTTTTGAATAGACATGTTTTCAGTTCTACTGGATACATATCTGGTAGTGAAATTACTGGGTCATATAGTAACTATAGTTAACGTTTTGAGGAATTACCAAATTGTTTTTCAAAATGGCTGTACCACCTCATAGTTTCCACCAGTAATGTATGAGAGTTCCAGTTTCTTCACATCCTCGCTAATATGTTATTATCTTCTTCTTTTGTGTGTGTGTGTGTGTTTATGTGGTGCTGGGGACTGAACCCAGGGCCTTGTGCATGCGGGAGACAAGCACTCTACCAACTCAGCTGTATCCTCAGCCCTGTCTTCTTTTTCAATATAGCCATCTGCAGGGTTGAGTTGGATAGGGATTGCCAATATCCACAAAGGTATCATATATGAAAATGCCTGTGTGCTCAGCCTCAGCAAGAGAGTATGCTGTTGAGCATTTGAAATGAGGAGTAAAAAATGATACCTCAGGGCTGAAGGTATGGCTCACTGGTATGTGTAAGGCCCTCAGTTCAGTCTCTAACACAGCAAAAAAAAAAAAATCTCAGTATAATTGTAATTTATTTGAATGTCTTTATTAGTCAATTTTGCTGTAGTGACAAGGGCTTCAAAATCCCACCTGCCCATGACAACATAAGCTTTTGTTTTGTTTTTGAGATGAGATCTCACTGTTTCCCAGGCTGATCTTGAATTTCTGGGCTCAAGTAATCCTCCCACTTAGCCTCCAGAGTGCTGAACTACAGGTGCCTTCAACGCACCTGGCTTAACAACAGAGGTTTATTCCTCTCTAATGGTTCTAGTTCTGATGGTGGTGTTGGCTCTAGTTCTGATTTATGTGATTTTATTCTAAAATCCAGACTGAAAGAACTATCTGGGACACACTGTTCTCATGGCAGAGAGTAAAGAACAAAGGTAGAGAAAACCACAAACTCTTAAAAACTTCTCCTCAAACCTGGCATGTGGCGCATTTCCTCACGCCCCACTGTCCAAACTAAGTTGTACATGGAGCCCCGGGCAGGGGTGAGAAAAGTGTGTCCCTCCCAGGAGAGGACACTGCATAGCACAGAGCAGTGGGTGAGATAAACCTCCATAAGATGTCTGGACACTGGCCTGTGGCAGTTTCACATTCTGTTCCACCTCAGTCTCCACTGCTTCTGTGCACTCATTTATGTTAAGTTTTTTTTTTTTTTTAAATATTCTTAGTAGTATATGGACAAGATATCTTTATTTATTTTTTTACATGGTGCTGAGAATCAAACCCAGTGCCTCATATGTGCTAAGCAAGTGCTCTACCAAGGTCTAAAGGTTTCCTCTCCTTCGCCCTCAGGGACAACTCTCAATTATTCCTGCTCACTTCTTTAATCTTCATCCTCTAACTCTTCCTCCCAGCACCACCCCCCCCCCCCCCCCCCAAAAAAATCTCTCACTACATGCCCCCTTCCAGCCACCTCCTCTTCACAGCAGACCTTTTTTCTGCAGTACTGGGGATGGAGCCCAGGGCCTCAGGCTTGCACTCTATTGCTCAGTTACACTCCCAGTCCCTGATCTTTTT